ACAAGGTTACGAAGTTGAGAGATATCAACCTTCCCGCCAGTCTCCATGTTGCATTTTTGGGGAATACCGCTTGCACGTCATAAATTTACCGTTGGCATAAAATTATTTTGTGGGGGCGTGGAGAAGGGAGTTGAAAAAATATTGATCTACTAATCTGGTTATCTTTTAGTCCTTTGATTTTTGCTTCCCCCTGAATCAAAGTTATATACCTCATGTATGGTTCTGCATTATCGATATTTCAAATCAATTCTCAAACTTTCATTCCTTATTCGTCCTTTCAGCTCTTGGCACCTCTCCCCACAGGAGAGGGGAGTAACGTTCCACAGATCTGCGGTAGAACATAATATCAATGATACAAATTTGTAAACAGTTAAAAGGTGATGTACATTTCAATATGTACAATTGTTTAATAGCTGTTGTCTCTATTTCTTGTAGCTTGTAGGCACAACAGATGTAAACAATGCGAGAGGTGATGCAATGTGTGCAATGTGTGGTAGTTGCTAGTGTTTCATTTTAATTGTGATGCATACGACTTTACTTAAAGTATCTTCAAGTTTTTAGTTATTTTTTTACAAAAGAAAATAACTCTGTGTTAGTGGGTATAGTGGTATGTTGCTTGCACCAATCAGATTGCTGCATAGGGGTATGTATCTTGCCCAATCAGATTGCTGTATTAGAGTTTGTATCTCATGCCAATCATATCACAGCTTTCTTGCAAATGATGTAATGGAATCAGGTGGCTGTGCACAAAGAATGACATACACCATAAATTTTGGGCTAATTTTGATAAGTGTCGATAAATTTGTTTTTTTTCCCTTTCTCTTAAGGTGAAGTGATGCAATATTTTTCTTCCATTTGAAAGTTACACAAAGTGGCCCATCTCAACCCACCCAGCCAAAAAAATAACAGTTGTATGCTACACATGCCCATGTTTGTAATCAGTCATGGAAATCTTGCTTTTGATTGGTCTTATGCGGGCTCAGTTTTCGGTTAACTGTTTCTTAATTTCATTTAGTTACTTAGTGTTTAGCATCTCTCTGAAGTGAACATTATTCACTTGCATTTTTGCATATTCACAGTTTCTGTTATTAAGAAAAGACAAAATCTTTTCATCACAATCTTGTTTCTCTCACAAATTGTTAGTTGATAATAAGAATTGGTAACAGGGCCAATAGTAATAGGTGAATCCGACTCAGTCTGTAATCATACAAGTGACTAACAAAACTGGATTCTGATTTGTTAATCTCAAATATGGTTACTGAGTGAATTGGACAACAAGAAGTCCTATGACAATTTTCGAGAAAACAACTGTTTTTTTTTTTACATGGGCTTCTCATTCCAATCTTTGAACTCTTAACCATTTACAATATTTGACAAAAGCGTAATAGAAAGCTTTAAGTTTTGTCTAATGTACTAAATTCTTCCATTTGGGGAAATCCCCAGCTTTGAATGGAAAGTGGTGCCATGGTGACTATAATCAAGTCTGTGAGTGGTGGATTAATTTGAGTTCATTGATTGACTGATGTAGCTGTTGGTGAGGGGAGGTGTTCTTCACAATTACCCTGAAAAGATAACTTCCTGCTGGACATTTGTTAGCCAACAGTCGACCAACTGTCAGTTGACTGTTGGTGATCTGTCAGTAAGGTGTTGGCAATCTGTCGGTAGAATGTCAGTAACTTCATGCCAATTATTGCCTTGAAAAGTGTATGATTTACAACCCTTGATAATTGCATCGAAAAGATAAAATGAAACTCTTAATAGTCACTGGCTCTTTTATGCACAGGGAATGTTCGTGTGCCTTTAAGTTTTAGTGGCATTTTGAAAAATTTTAAGCATTTAGAGTAAGTTTTACATCGATTTTTGAGTGCAAAAATGCACTAGTAAGGTTATTTCACCGCCTGTCGCTAACCTGTTGGTTACCTGTCAGTGGCCTGTCAGTTTAGTGTCAGCCAACTGTCAGCAGACTGTTGGCCGACATTTGGCCGACTGTTTCATACCTCATTAAGAACAAAATGTACGGGGAGTAACTCACCAGGTAAGACACAAAGTTAGTGAAAGCAGTTTTCAATTGCGTCGAAACTAGCTGAATCCATGATTGCTTTCGTTTTCTTGAACTTCGCTCTGTAATTGGTCAGAAATCTTGTGCCACCCTCTCAACCAATCAGGTTCAAAACTTAAACCAATCATGGTTTGGTCACTCGTGTTTTCCCGCGCTTCACACAGTTTGCCTGTTTTTAATTTGAGTACTCATGAGCTAGCAATGATGTCGACTTAATCTCCGATCGGCTGTCATGATCACTTTGGTTTTGGTTCTCAAAACTCAACTGAAAACTGCTCTAAACAGCCAGTCATTTGGTCAGTCTGAAACTCACCTGCATAGTCTAAAAACATTTTTCTGTGCTACACTCAACAAGAAGATTAAACCACGAAACAACCAATAGAATTTACTGTCAACGGGAGCTGACATGTATAAAGGTAACGTCACCCATAACAAAGAAAATCAAAGGGAGGGGCAAGTTGTCTTACTTGTTCAAACTGGCTCATTGGTACTTCATGAGTGATGACAGGAGTAACATCAACTCTGTAAAGAACCAAGCTCAGATCAATTTAAATGTGTTCAAAATTAAAGCACGTATGGTGATAAAATTCATAGAAATCCTTGTTGGTTCTTCTCTGTGATCCTTCTCATTAGGTAACAGAAGCATGGCGGGCATCACCAAATGACAATGGCATTCAACTGATTCAAGATTAGGAATGGATCTGAAAACCGCCAGCCCCCTGTTTGTCAAGGATATGTTCCCTTTGAGGCTATGTATTTCATGGTGTTTGGGACTTGAAGGGCTATCTCTTGAAACATCAGCTTTAGAAACTCTCAAAGGTGGCAAACTTACATGGCCGACTCAGTTGATGAAACCAATTATCTTGAATATAACTAATTTATAAGGTTACTATCTTGTTACTGGCCATATGAGTTCATAGCTACATCATAGAGACTTTAAAAAAATTACATGTAATTCTTACTTGTCGTTAAACAGTAACTCTTCTGATTTTTCCCAAGTGCTGAAAATCTTCCTGCCATGAACTGTTTTCATTGTCAGAGACTTGAATAAGATATCTTGTAGAAAGTTTTCTACATGAAGAGGTTTCTGAAAAGCATAAGAAAAAACTTGAATAAGAATGTTTTACTGAGAGCTAAAAAATTAACCTATGGCTAAGTAACCTCATTAAGATGGTAATATGAAAATGTTAAAGCAGAACCACACTAATGTAAAGTAATCATGCCAAGTAAAGAGCATTTTGAGATACCACAGCAAAGACAAACAAAACAAAAAAGGTTACCTTAAGTAATCCTACTAGAACGACCCTTCCACCTTTTCTGCAGAGAAACAGTTAATATAATTTGCATAAATCTATCTGAAGTCTATCACAAATGCTGCATTCTGAATGGCTGCACTTCTCACTATCTATTCTGTGATATAGTGAGTAGCCTAATAGTGTGCAGTTGTAAACAAAATAAAACAAAAGCAGCAGCCAGAGAAGTATGTATGAGGTTAAAATGAAATATTTACCTCAATAGGGAGAAACAGTTGTTTACTAATGGCGCTGCTCCAGAACACTCAACAAGGCAACCAATACCATCACCTGATGTTTCTTTCATAACTAGAGGGAAAGAGATCAAAAACATTAATTAAAACTACATTACCAGGTTGAACTCTTTTCTACTGAGTGTCGCAAAATCAAACCAAAGTAGTTACAACAGACAATTAAGAGAAAGGAAAATACATTGAAGAGCCAATGGGAACCCAAACTAAAAAAAAAAGGAAAACCACCCTAAAGCACAGGAAAAAGCAGACAATAAAGTCCTGATTAGTGTTAGTTTTGCATCTGATTGGTTGATTTCTGGACCAATCACAGAGCTGATGAAAGCAAATCAATACAATCCCAGATTACTATCAACACTGAATTGAAAATTCCTCCAGCTACAACAAGTATAACAAATTAGGAAACCACAATTTTCATAAAAAACAAAAACAAGATAAAATTCAACAATATTTTAGGCTGGGGGTTCTTTTCCAGGGCACTGGAATGGATTGTATATATCACAACTGAGCTGAAAACAAATCCAGGGTGTGTGTTCTTTGAGGTCAAAAAATTCATCATATTCTGTGATCTTTTCAAAGACCTTTTTCATTTTTTCCATGCAATAGATGAGCTGGTCAGCCATGACAATGTGAGAAGGATCATATAGCGAAGCAGTTTTCTGCCTTCATTTTATCTCAAAAATGTCGTTATTAGTCACTTTCATGACTTTCAATGACCCTCATTCCAATTTCAGGTACAAATATTTTGTGGGCAAACATATAAGGTCTCTATCATGGATTATACCCTCCCCTCTCCCTTGGCACTGTATTTGGGACTAAAAAGAACTCACAGACCAATATCTTTGAGATTTTCCATCTTCCCATTAACTAATACATCTGCACCCATTTGCTTTGCTTTTTGAAGTCTTTCCTCCACAATATCTGTGGCAATTCTGAAAAATAAGGAGAAAATGAACAATTCTTGAGTATTTTATTGTTGGTCATATTTTTTTGGACTGTTTGCCCCAGCGATAGAAAATTTTTCAAAATAGCAAAAGGTTCATTGTTAACAGATATGGCTTGTTCAAGGGATGTGGACAGAGGGCTAATACAGTAGAATGGGTTGTCTCTTGTACAAGCTGTGGAGTTATTTCTGAACCATGGATGGAGGCAAAATCTTAAGAGGGCTATTTTTGCTATCGGGCACTGGCACATTTTAATTGACAGCTGGTACATGATTGAATTTATTAAGATGAATGTTGAATCTTCAGGTTGTGTTAGGACCACTCCTACTGTAAATAGGCAGCTAATGTATGATCATTTTACAAGGTTAACATCTAACAAAATGATGTACATTTTGACAGCACCCATGCTCTTGGCAATCCCAGCTGATATTAAGCCAATAGGACCACACCCTGCAGCAGAGTACAAAATATATAAATGCAAATCCCAGTTAACCAATAATTTTTTTTTCTATCTACTGGCATAGAACAGCAACCCACATCGACACATATACCTGTATACAGTAAGACTTAGCTTCTCCATTGCAATAATTGTGTGCTTTGCATAAGTAAAGAGGCCTTGTACAAATACAAAAGTAGCCCTTCTGAATGAAAACCAGAAATTCAACAGCTTAATCCCCTCAACCTAACCTTAGGTAGATTGGAGCCCATTGCTTTATGATGATGTTTAAAATATAATAATTCAGTCATTAAATCATAGGAAATCTGGCAAGGGCATACCTTTTAAAATTGTGTGTGTTATTCACTCTCCCAAACAAATGGATAGTAAATACATTATGCCTCAAAGTTTTTCCATAACACTGTCAACAGATGATGCTATTAGATCATATCAGATGTGGTCTAACCACATGATTCCATATCCATTTTAAGCACGAAAGAGGACACCTTTCAAACTCCATAGAGAAGCCAAATTAACAGTAAAAAAATTCTTCAAATGCATTTTAACAAACATAACTATTAACCTTGAATGAGTACACTGTCTCCTGTTGGACAAACCTCTTCCATTGCTTGATGCGCCACACCAAATGCTGTCAGTAATCAGTAAAAAATAAATAACTTCAAGGCAAACTATTGTTAGAATTAGCAAATTTCAACTTGTTTATAAACAAAAGCTTTCTTACGTTCCAATAGGCAAGCCCTGTCCACATCAAGGTTTGTTTTCAACTGGTAACAGTATCTTGCTGGAATAATGGTATACTGAGCACAACCTAAAGAAGGACAATACTGAAATCTCAAATACATATGTGAAAATGTGTTTAAATAATTAGGTCACAATCAGTTTCACAGCAAAGATAATCTTACCTTACAAAAGTCTGATAAAAAACATCCAAGTGGCTACAAATGAAAATTCTCTGTTTGTTCAGTTCATTACCTCCATAGATTGTTCCTCTTCCATGGCCAAACTGATTCAAGTTCTGGCAAATGTGGCGTAAGTCTGGTAAGTCAATTAATAGAATCTGTGAATCCATTGGTTAAGCTCAACTGTTTTACCTATTATTGAAATCACACCTCCCTTGCACCATTTCTGAGTATTTTGATGAGTTAAATTTAACAAAAAATATCCTTGCTCATCCCTACCATGTAAACACTGATAGCACTTTCCACAATAAAAGTGATTTTCACAACAAATACGCTGCCCAATGAAAAATTTTCCCTCACAATCAGGACCAACCTTCACTACCTAAAGACAAAATAATTCATTACGAAAAAGAAAAATAAGAATGGACAGTGAAAAATACTAAAACATCCATTACCTCTCCAACACACTCATGACCAGGAATGAAAGGTAGCATTGCTATTGCCTTTGCAGCTGTAAATAGGTAACAAATGAACAAATTAGACCAAAAAAACAGGAAGAACAGTAACTGTGAAGAAAAACCTGTTGGCTGACTGCTAACTGACTGTCACCCAACAGTCAGCTAACTGTCAGCTGACAGTTTTAAACATAACTGTTGGCTGGTAGTCAGTAATCTGTCCATGAGTTGTTGATAACAATATCATTGTATTACTATATCAATCCTCCAAATTTCTGTGGACGTAAACAGTACATTGGACAGGAATATGAATTCACTGAGGTTTAGGCCAAATTTAGTGCCATTACTTACAAGAGTTGCTGAGAGATTGCAAAAGGAACGTTGTTATTTTAATGCAATATCAACTCATTTGATAAGTGATTCAACATAATTAGCACAGTAAGTTCAACATCTAAAAGCATATGTAAAGTACAGTCACAGTTTTGTTTTGGAAGTTAATTCTTGGGTATACTGCCAATTGGTAACCTGCAGGTAGCCTGTCACTGGTCTGTTGGTTATCTGTCAGCCAACGGTCAGCAGACAGGTTTTTTCAGGGAGCTGCTCCTCATAATTACTGGTGGAACAATATTCAGTAATTAAATATCATTATGCGTGTGGTACAATGATTTGAACTAAGAGAGAGTGACATCTCATTTATTAAATGTAACTTCCAAAGATATGAAATAAACAGGAAACTTTATATATGGCATTAATTAGCCAGGAGGTAATCAGACCCCAAAAAAATTCAGATAAAAAAGAATAAGCATTAGAAGTATCTTAAGGTATATAGACAACAGAGTTTCATAACCTTGACCCTGTTGCCCAACCCTGACCCCTCCACCCATCCCCTTACTCAGCCTTGATCATGCACCTGTTCTCCTACAAATGTCACACAAAGTGGTTTTGGGAATATTGTAATCTTGCCTTGCATCTGAGCCTTGCATCTGGTAAATGTATAAATAGAATGTTTCAACGAAACTAGGGTGAAGCGGCGAAAGGGGCGGTTTCTCATCCACATTTTGACGTTATCTATTGAATAGATAACGAGACTAAAATAACAGATAGATTGAGTTGTCACCTTCATCCCATTGATACAATATGTTATCCGAACCACATATAGAGACTTTAAGAACTTTTACGAGTAATTCGCCGTTTCCTGGTTGTGGAACAGGAATTTCTTTGTACACATACGATGGTTTCTCCTCTTCTTTGATAAGAACTTTCATGTAATCCGGTAATTCAGACATGTCGACAGTTAAGTGAACCGTAGAAGCGTGACTGATGACTAGATTTGGAACATCAACACTGGGAACTAGCGAATAGATTGAGAATGTAGTGGGAGGGGAGGGTGAAGGGCAGTTAACTATACGTGTTTTTTTTTTCAGATTTGATTAAAAAATCCAGACATTGAAAAAAAATTTTCATTTTTCCTCAAATATTTTATTTATTTTCCTATCCATATAAGAAAATTTATCGGTTCTTTAGCTTTTAAGAACACAAAGTCCAATTGCACCTACGCAGTCTAGCCCAGTAGATAAGTCTAGTACAGAGACGGCTCAAAATGGCGGACGAGCTGGAGCAGATCGAATTAGGCTTTGAGGAAAGACTAGAAGAAATCAACAACTGGCTCAAAAATGGAGGATACGAAAAGTATAAAGAAGCTAGACGCCTTGCAGAGGAAGAATCCCTCGAAGATCCTGAAACTGATCCTTTTAAGTCAAAGTATAAAGCTAGAAGAATCTTGTTAGATTTGAAAGCTGAATTGGCATCATTCTTAGACGACGAAATCCCCAGCGAAAAAGCTAAGATCCTAAAGGCTGCTCTTGATTATCAGATTGGACAAAATTACATTGAAACTGAAGAGCTGAGTACGGGCGAGGAACTCTTTAAAAATTGCATCAATACTCTCGCAGAATATCGCATGGACAAAAGAAGTTGCTCTATACACTTGCATGCTTTGAACGAGCTGGGAATTCTCTGGTCCAAAAGAGGTGACTCTGAAAAAGCGTTGGGATTTCTACAGGATGCAGAGAAGTTGTACTATAGTTACAAAAAAGAAATGGAGGGCTGCTCTCCTTATGACATTCAAGAGTAAGTTAAACATTGACTCAATTTATTCAGATGATTATTAATTCTTCCATCACCCACAGGAAAATTCTTATCCTTTTTTTATACCAAAGTGCTTCGTGTAGTCAAAGGGTACTCGAGGAATTATACTTTGTTGAGTGTCACTTTTTCAGTTTTCAGCAATTCAGGGGGAAGGAGCTTTACCAAATATAAAAATTTGTTGTCTGGTGTTGCGCACGTCAGGATAATCCTGGGTAGTTCTAAAGTGAAACCAGGGTACATGTAGCAACACAAATTTTTTTTTTTCCCATGGTTACATACTCATGTACATACACAGAAGGTTGTGCTTGATAATAACACAAAATTTTTCTTTTCATGGGTTACATACTTGATTACTCACAGAGAAAGTTTTGGGGGCTGTCCTGGTGTACCGGTACACGGGGGAATTCCTATTGTTTTCATATCCATACATGGAGTTGTGACGCAGTTCGTTAATGTTTCGTTCCTTTGTGTACCAGTACACGAGGACACAACCAAGTTTTGCTTACCAGTCTGGTGAAAATTTTGATGATAAAAAGAGAAAAAAATGGGAGGCTTACTTCACTGGTATCAGTGTGTCTCAGGGAAAACAACACCAAAAGGCTGCCATGATTTATTAGATCTCACAATGATAGTGGTCTTAGAAATCTGAGTCATTCTGATAAAGTAAAACATGAATTTTTAAGGAATAGTTGTCACACAATTTACTCAGTCTTTTTATTAGCAATGTTCTTTGTTGTGCAGAACTGCAAATTTTTTCCAAATTCTTTAATTGTTCTTATCATGAGGTAACCAGAGAGTGCATTTCATACATTTTACAGTACATTTATAACAGCACATCTCAGTAAACAGAATACATGATGTTGTCATAATCTATTTATCTGTAGACTCTTTTATCCTGAAGACAACTTCCTCTCAGATGCTGAACGGGAAAGGGCTTTCAGTGCGACCTTCACTCATACTTTGTATTACTTAGCACAAGTCAATGCAGCCTTGGGGCATTCTAAAAAAGGGGCAATGTATTGTCACACAACTCTATGTCGCCAGCTGGAGACAGAACAGTATGATCCAGTTGACTGGGCTCTTAACTGCGCAACACTGTCTCAGTACTACATTACACAAGAAAAATATACATTGGCAAGACATTGCCTGGGTAGGTAATCTTGGTTTTTAAGGCTCCTTTCCTCTATTTTATGTCCTCCTTAGTAAGGTTAGTTTGAGGTACAATTTTGGCCAAAACAGGAATTTTCTCCAGGTTTTCATATAGAGCAAATTTAGTGATTTTACTTTCTTTTTTTGTGTAGAATTATAATGTCAGCAAGTTATTTGCATTTTCATTCCTTGCAGTTAACTTTATTCCTCTGTCTATATGTAAAAAAGTACTTACCTGAACTTTTTTTCAATAGATGAAAGTCTTAAGCTTATCCTTGGTGTAATAGGGAAAAAACCATCAAACTCATCAGTGAATTTGAAATTAGGCCAAAATGGTCTAGTAAAACAGAAATATATGGCAAACTCACCACCGAGCACAGAAGCCATTGCAAGGTTGCTATTGTGAGGTTCAGTTTGTTTAGAGGGGGTTTAACTTAACTACAAGTCTGATGTAGAAATGCATCAATTAAAGATATTAATCATCAGTGGTCTTTGGGGCAACTTTGTGCTGGCAGTAGTCTCAAGTCAAATATGGTAGGAAAATCATCATAAATGCAAAAAAAGATTTAAAAATCTGCATCAACTGTGTATGGATTTTAGGTATTTCCAATACCAAAGCAAATAGAAACTCTGCAAAAAAACTTTCATGCTCACTGGAGTTGAGGAACTGGAATAATGGAGGTTTAAGGATATCCTCAGCAACAACCTTGTAGTTAAGTTCCAACCATTCTTAATCAAAGATTGATTGGCAAGATATTTAGCAACTGAACATCAAGTGCAAATGGCTACAAAATTCACCATAGGTAAAATTCTGCTAAGCATGTATGAAGTCATTCATAACCTTTTAACGTGACAATGATGATATTTATAAAATAAATAAGTAACTTCTTTAAACACAGCATGTTCCAGTCGTGTTTTCTCTGAGGCTGAAGAAACTGCTACAGTGGAGGCTGTGAGTGAGGATGACAGTCAGGAAGAAAGAGAAAGAAAAGAAAGAATTCCTCAAAGGAAGGCTGACATCTCTCGCTGTTGGAGTAAATATTGTTTGGATGTGTTGAGAACATCAAGAGATCGGTGTGTACAAGAATTGACCAATGCTGATCAGAATGATGAAGAACAAAAAACAGAGAAAGGTTGGGAAAGTTGTTTTTACTACAGTAACTTAGAATTCAATTCCCTAAATTTAAGGTTTAAGGTAAATTTCTTCTGGTAAACAAACCCTGTGAAGTGATAATTAACCAAGAGTTATCATTTGTAGCAGGTAGCGAGATCTGCTTTGTGTCATTCTCAATAGTGTCTGCTTCAAGAAACCCCTTTGATACAACTTCCAGTGAATTATTCACTTTAGTTATGTAGCTGTCATTATGAATATTATGGTCTTTCTTAAGTTATTTACACAACACTTTACATACCAAGCCAATATGTATGGCAAAAAAGGAGATGATCCTGTGAGTAAGCTGTTTCTGTCTCTGTGGGAGATTTCATGCCTTATGTTTATGAAGACAAGGCTGACCATCTTCTGGAAAAATATCTTTCTTTCATCAGAACTGAAGACAGTTTCTTCTTTCTACATCAAGTTCAAAGTGTGTGTGTGTGTTTTTTTTTTCAGTGTAATCATTAGAGCAAAGATGTTGTATATAATCCCTGATTCTGGTATTTAAGTCAATCTAGTTTTTTCAAACCAAGAACCTCTAGATATAGCTCAAGAAATAATGTTGTTAATTTAGAGGAAGTGTAGCTCTTTTGTTCATAATTTATTTTCCTACACTGCCTCTTATTACTGGAATAACTTGAATAACTCAATCAAACAAAGCCAGTCTTTCTCCGAATTTAGTAGGAGATTAAGTCATACTGATTTTAAAGGGTGCTTTTGTCACTCCTCTCTATGAATTTGATTGATCTTTTTTTTATTATTATGTACTTTTCCTAGACTGATACATCTATATACTCTATTAGGATCCTTGCATATTTTTTTTATCTTATATATTTTAACTTTACTTTTACATTTAACTTTACTTTTTTTTGTTTTGTTGTCAAATGTTTCATACGTGAGCCTTGTTGCTCATAATATTGGGCAACCACTTCCCATTTCAATGACAATAAATATATTAATACAAAACTGTTTTCATTTGTAGAGAAGAAAAATCATTCCTAAAGAAGAATGAGCAAGTACAGGTGTAGCAAGAAAACAGAAAGCACAATCTGAAAGGAAAAACTTACAACTTAACCTACAACTCCATAAACATCTATTCAAAAATTTCTCATCAGAAGTTTGGTGTACTGTACTGTAGATATGGGAAGAAACATTTGAGACTGCCTGTTCATACAGGTTTCACTGCATGCAGTGAGTCATGATCGTAAAAAGATGCCAATGAAAAACCTATTTCATACATATCTTTATTTTCCAGTGACTTCTGATGGAAGTGCCAGGAAAGAAGAAAGCACTCAAGAAGGTGACACAGAAGAGCCCCTTAGATTTGAGTCCCTTGAAGTTATTTCCTTAGAACAGTCGGTACCAGACCACTTAATAAAGTCATATGATGAGGTAAAGACTTTTTTCAATTAAATATTTTCTTTATCTTGAGATATTTTTCCAAGATTTGGTAATTATTATTTAGGGATTCATTAAGTATTATTTACTTCCCTACCCCTCAGCTGCATTTTTTATCATTAAAGTTTGCCTGATTCCAACCTTCAGTTTGTAAACTGAGCACTTGAGTGAAGGGAGAAAAATCAGATCTTGTCGCAAACCTACATCATTTTATTCACTCTGGGTCTCTATTATATCCCATTTTCTGCATCTTGTGTTCACAAATTGAATTCCTGGAACAGGCTGCCATCTAATTAAACTAGTCCTATAATGAGACAATCCAAAAAGGTAATTCAATCATACTTACCTTATCTCATCTACCAGTCATTATTAAATGCTATATGATCTTTCATTTCTCTCCCACAGGCACGTGTCCTGTTTCTGGAGGGACAAAAATGGCTCAACATATCCAAACAATTCTATGTGCTGGACGGTCATGTGACCAATCACATAGAAATCATACAGGACTTGAGCCAGCTATACAAACTGTTGTCATTCTTTGACGAAGACTTTGAAAGGCGATGCAAAATGCACAAACGGCGAGTGGATATGCTGAGTGAAGTTCTTATCGAGTTGAATCCCCAGCATTATCTTTTGGTCTGTCGACAATTGATGTTTGAAATTGCAGAAGCATACAGTGACATGGCTGATCTAAAAATAGCTATTGTGGATGAGTCAGGCGGGCATCCAAATGCACATGCAGTCAAAAAAATAAATATATTGATAAACCAAAGTATAAAGTTTTTCAAGAGCTTTATCGACTCTATGAAGAATAAAGGTGCTTTGCCTGAAACATTTGCTGAGGACACTGTGCGCCCAGCTCTTGTGGCACATTTTTATGTTGCACGGCTTTACTCCAAGCTGATATGCTCAGACAAACATCTCAAGGTTGATAATTTGAAGAAGAGTTTGGCTATTTATCAGTATCTTGTGGGATATTGTGACAGCCACCCTGGTGTGTCAGACATGGCATTCAAGCAGGAGATTGGTGTTTCCAGGGAAATGGCTCAACTTCTTCCTTTCAAGATGGATAAAATCATGAAATCTGAATCATGACATTTGCAGTGGAATGGTCATTAACTTTCAGTTTGCTTCTAGGACTGAAAATGGACTTCGACTCCTAATACTAGCAGGCTAAACACTGTACATAATTGATTGCTAATAAAATTTCATGCCTTTCTAGTAATACTGTTTCAATGAATTAAAACATGAGTAATCTGTTCAGTGGCTCCCTGGTGATGATATGGTGTAAGCCTTGTGGTAGGTGTCAGTTGTGAGCATGAGCAGCTTGAACAATTAGAATATTTGAATCCCTTCTTTACTACCCTGTTATCTCCCAGCTTCAAACCAAACTCCTCAAGGCGGATGGTATGTCGGCTGATAATGCCCGCGGCTTTATAGTGAACATTCCCAGGATTCAAGATATTAACCAAAACGACTGAGTCTGACAAGAGTGGTTGCTTTAATTTTTCATTCCTTCTTTGAGTTGTTAGATTAGTATGGTCAGATACTCTCAAAGGACAGAAGGATTGAGTCTAATACATTAAGAGCTAGTGCCTTACTTTAGTACGAGGGTACACGTCATTATGGTAATTCTTAAATGCCTTTTATTAGCAATACAAAATTGAAAACTACCACTGACACAAACAATTCTGCTTAGAGAGGTAAGTGTGAACGTTAAGCATTACAATTTCGATGACGTACGTTTAAGTTTTGGTCATATTCCTAATTTTCTGCGCACCTCCCACTTCAGTCACACAAAAAAACTATTTCCAACAACAGCTTAACCTAGAATTATATTACATGCTGCCAGGCTCGAGTCAGTGACAAAAATCCCCTGCATTTTGGCTCCCAGTCGTTCAAAACGCGACTGACTTTAAGTTACAGTCGGGTTACTGCACCTATTAGTCACATCAGGATTCCATGAACGATAGCTTTGTTAAGTACATAAAATCTAGAAAATAGATTCTGGATTGTTGTTTTCATATAGTAGTAATGAGGAAACTAAGAAATATCCAGAAAGTTGAAAAGTTTTTTGGGTGTAGTCCATTGGCTCACTTCCGACCTTCGTCATTCCCCTCCGGGGGCGGGCGGTTCTGTAGGTCCAGTATCCCTTTGAGTGAATCACTCATGAAGTAAGGCTTTTCAGCACTGCCATCATTCATCTTGATGTCTTCCACTAAAACGAATTGGATTGAAACATTATCAGAGCATATTCGTAAATATTGAAGGAGATAGCTCTTGAAAACTCGTTACGAACTCTGTGACAAGGATTTGAATTCCGGAGCGTCATGTGCTCTAAACTTATAACCAGTTCCTGTTCCTTTCCTTATCTAATTTTACGGCTTTCTTCCGCGAACACATCAAAAACACCACGATAACGACAAACTACGATACAATTCGATTTGGCAAAAGAAGAGTGATAATTCATCCGAAACTGCTCCCAGTATCATGATTTCACTTAATGAGTGGAGGAAAACGTTAACTGGGTTCGCGATGACTGTTAAAACTTTGTTCACAATCCTTTGTGTCCGCTCGCCAACTTCTCTTGTTCGAACGGGCGACTGCATAGTTGTCTTCCTAGTTTCATCTTTTTTCTCCGTCCATTAACACGTCAAGATCTATCTCCTGAAACGTTTTTAAGTATTCTGGATTCTAGAATACTTACAGAAGCACAGGAATATGGTGTCAATGGCCATGTCATAGACATCGAAGAACAGGATTGCAACAGCGTAGGCAAAAATCACCATCACCTGAAATTAAATGGAAGCAAAAACAATAATTTTTTAAGTCAATGTGATGGTTTAGAATTCATATGCTAGCGACCGAAATTTCGGAGCTTCAAATTCACATTAAGAAACGTCTTAACAGTACTTCAGAGAAAGTCCATAACTACGGTGAGTTACTCTAAAAGGAATATTCAAACAAAAAACTTTCAGAAAAGTTTTCAGATTCCGTCTTCAAAAGGCACTTTTAGTATTTGTCAGTGTCCACTGCGAAATCCAGAGGATGACAAATGAATGCACTTAGTCTACTTACGATGGTTGGCACCACATCAAACTGAAGAGTGTCGGGATCATCTTTGCTTATTTTATCAAACCAAAAGAAACTGCAGACCGCTGAAAAATAACAATATGAAATAAACATTGTAACGCGATCTTGTGTCACTTTCTCACGGAACCAAAGTATTTAGGACTGACTGTGACTCACGTACAATTTTATTGTAACTCAAACACCATTTATTTGGGGCAAAGAACTGCTTCGTTGTTTAGAATGTGTTTCGGCGAGAGTAAAAAACGTTTCAGTGAAGCCTGACCGCAACCTGTCTTTCCATGCCCCACTTAGAGGATCATCGACATCAAGTAGTGGTTAGGACAATTTATTCGAAGATGATGACAATTATGTTAATCAGGCAGAAAAACGGACTCACCAACAATTCCAACCACTAACAGCTTGCCCATGAACAGAAGGAATGACGTCACACTGTTAACAGCTACCACCCTGAGAAAAAGTATCAATTATTACATTAGGACATTCTTACGGTAATATGAACCAGAAAATCCAGAAGAAGTATTGCGTGGTATAACAGTCTAAAGAAATGTATGAAGCACATCAGTAACGAAAATACGCTGCATAACAACCCTTTTGACAGCCAATTAAACTCAATTTTGTTAGTGAACATGTAAGTAAGGAATATGTAAGATGAGTTTCCCATCTAAAATTTTTTAACACGCAGTTTTTTGGCAAAGTATGACCTTTTTTTTGATCGTGAAGGAAAGAATTGATACTCTTCACATTACGTTGAATTTCAATTGCATTGATCTCCACTTAAGTCTCTATGACCAAATAGCACACACACAAAAAAACAGTTCCAAGACAACCAACGTCTCTGTTTTAAAGCGAGAAAAAGTATGCCAGGAAACCTTTAATAAAAATGATTATTTTCGTACTGGTGGAAATAAAATCATTGAGGAAATGTTCCACGCTTGATCTAATTTTGAAGAGAAAAGTCTGTACAGCTTGGAGGTGACCTATTGACGTAGTCTGTCTTACCTCAGAACATTCTCCAACAGGATCATGAAGGCTTCCTTGGCAGCACCGCAGAAATTCTTTCCTTTGATGGCAATCTTCATTAAACAACAGAACGTTTAATAAAAAGGTGTATGCATATTGGTCTAATCTTAACTTAATATGTTGTCTTTTCAAACCACTGTCTTGTTATATAGTCTTCATTTATTTTCATTCCAACAAGTGATAAGCAATCTTGACACCAAATAGTACGTTTGTTGAGGACAACGTAGATGGGTCAGAGGCAGTGAATCTTTGAAAATTAAATTTTAATCATACAGTCTTACCTGTCGCTTAAATCTGTTTTAGCATATCTTATCGTTAACTTTATATATTCTTCTTCCATTTCGTACCATCACTCTCGTGTTATTTTAACTTGCAAGAGTCAAATTTTTTCGACTTCAAATATCCTTTCCGTTGCAAAAGACAACTCCAATACCGTCGACGCATAAGTTTTACGATTCGCCATTTCGGATATATTTTTTATTCCATTCTGTCTAAGTTTTATTAGCTAACATTACACATTTATGCAATAAGATAGTGACTTCTAATAATCCAACGTACTATGATGTAAGCATTCTTGTTGAGGAACTTCAAGCACTTTTCCAAACACCAGAAACAGCACTTGCAACAGCTACACAAAAAAAAATCATCACATTAAAAAATTTCCCTCCAGAAATTTACCAATTTGACGAGAAAAAGAAAGAGAAAACAAAAAACCAATAAGCAGTCCTTTCTTTTCGTTCCCACGTAGAGAAAACGAAAAAAACAATAATTATTTAAAGAAGTAACTAAGAACTTTACTCTAGAGAGGGAGACAATTTGGGGAGAGAACTAAACACATTTGAGTTTGAAGGCAGTGAAATTGAAAATCAAGTGTATACTGACCACATAATGAACTTGACAATCTTGCTATCCTGGCCAGACTCTAAGATTTCAAAAAATATCAAATCACACCATTTTAGCCAGAGTGAGGTCTCACAAAACTGTGTGAGGAAAGCCAAAGAGTTGTAAAAGAGGTTGTACGGTAATCAAACGTACCTTTAACTTTGCGATCAATGTACTCCAACACAGCTCTGATAAACTGGACAATGGCAATAATTGCAGCTCCGAAGGCCAACGATCCAGTATGGTACCTGATAAAAAACATCGTTTGAAGTTAGCTCGTCTCTTGGGGAAAATTCCCAAAGAAGATAGGAAGAGGGTGTATTGTAGGCTTCTTACTTGGTGGATTTTAGATAATGTCTGAACAAAAGGGGTCATGATTGGGCCAAGGGTAGAATTATTACGTCCAATTTCAAACAAACAAATATGTTTCTCTCTCTTATTGCTTTAGTAGACTGATTAAGCCTTAAAGCTACACTGGTATACCAAATAAAGGTTTATTCTAGAAATTGGCCAAAGAGGGCCCTCAATGGGCCCTTTCCTTTTATTTTAAGGGCCCTTTTTTAAGAAAGTGGCTCAAAGGAGGGGTACCCCAAAATTTTTTAATGTATTTTTAGAGTTAAAGAGAAAGACAGACAATTGAGATAGTTACAGGCGGTATAGGAGCTATCGAATCAATCATGTTGTCAGTCATGGCTTCCAATTATTAATTTAAAAAAAAGGAGTATTTTTCCTTTTGCACGATTCCTTGGGCACGATTCCTTGCGCCCTTTAGACTTGCGGCATTTCTTTCACATTGCAGGAATCCCGTGAAGCCGTACTCTTGAATAGACCCTACTACAATATTGTTGACAATGGACATCTTAGTAACGCGGTAGTTTTTAGGTTCAAAACATATTGGACACTATCTTGTAGAAAGCAACATGAACATTACCTTATGGTGCGCCAGAACGATTTAAGGATTGGGAGTGAAGGAACATCCTAATAGCAAGGAAAAACAAATTCATGAACTGCATGAAACTGTCCAAGACAAATTTCTCTCTATCTGGACTAAGATCCGTTATGTTTCATCCTAAAGTGCTTCAACCACAAATTGACCTCAACCGTCAGCAGTCTCAATAAGTTGAAAACCATACTTATAAACCTGCACCTATAATTCGGCTTCGTAATAAGTAAGGAGACGAATTTCATAAAAATTATTTGGCCAATATACTTACATCCGGCTTGTGGAAGGCAAAATACCATGAAGCAAATGCACCAGCCAGTGCACACTGACCAAGGGCAATGATAAAGTTCATGATCCACAACCAGCCAAAGAAATGGTAAACTTGCATACGAAACAGATGTCTGTGAAAAGAAACAATTAACGGTTACTTTAAAGAACTACGTAGCCATAACAATAGACCACGAGTAGTCCCTTCTTTTTGGATTCATTACGCGAGCCTCACTCCAAGAGTGCCGCGCGGCGCACTAAAATCAAATTTTTTTTTTTTCGCTGCTTTTTTTTCCTCGAGAAACCGCTCGTAGTCTACCATAACATCACTACCCTATTCACTTGATCCAGTGCCCTAGTTGTGAAAAAACAGTTCGTGATCATATATCCGAGCATATACGCCTCGTAGAGAGGGAATGCTCGTAATATGGTAAATGTAAATGTGAAGAGCATTAACTATTTTCAACAATCACTTGTCAACTTTTCATTGTATGTGCGCCAAGGCATTTAATTGTTTATTCGCCAGTCAGATACAGGGGCGGCGTTCATCATATTTCCATAAACTACGATACGAAAATGTGAAATGAAAGACATGTCTCGTTTCGGTGGAAAAATGGGATTACGCTTCGCACTAGGTTGCCTTATGTGTACTATAATTTAAATGTCCCTTTCCCATCTGAATTTAAGGTAAATTGGCAATAAGTTGATTAATAAGAATGTGGCAAACCCCAATGACTAAAACCAACTTTTTAAATGAAAATGTACACATTCGACACAAAACACAAGTAAACAGGTTAAGCCTAGTCGCAATCTCATACACTTACACATTTTCCTTATATCCAGCCATAACACAACTTGCACTGGTGTTGGGATGATCAGTTTCAAAAGTCTAAAAACGAGGAAAAACAAAAAATAAAACGGTTACGAAATAAATTACTAAATTCCTCGTATTTCCAATCACACTTCAAACGTAAATCGGTTAATTTTCTGAAAAGATTTATTGCTTGATTCAAAAACAATATTTAGAGCCACAAGTTTTCAGGACAGGGTGACTCTTCAAAGATTTGGGGGCTTGGGGTTAAATTCATCATTTACAGGTATCTATAACATGTTTAAAATAAACAACACACGACTTCCTACAATAATAGAAAGTACGAGAAGCTGTGGCCCAAATGGTTGGTTAGAAACCCGGCTCAGGAGAAATCGAGATGTGCCTACCTCCTCCCTCTCCCTGCAAGAAAGGGGAACTAACAGCAAAACCTGAGGAAAGGCTGGGAGGTAATCTATTGTGGGCTAACAATCCACCCAGGAGAAGTACTGTGGTAGTACTCCGTGTCCTGGTTGCTTAATTCTCTAACAACTGAAAAAGGTTATCTGTATTCTTACAAGCGAAAGAAGTCTATTACTTCAAGCATTTCGGTTTGTTTTTGATCGTTTGTTTGTTTGTTTGTTTTTTGACTCCTTATCATTTCAAAAGTTATGGCTTGTTTTTGAGATATGAAAACAATATTTAAAAGTGATGGAAGTGATAAAGATGAAGTTTTAAGTGGCTAATGTGCTAGACTGCAAACTAGTCAAAACTGATCTTTATCACTGACTGCATTTCTTACCTGTGGGTTACAGTTACTCTCGTTTGTTAAGTTGTATTTATCACCATCTGTGGGAACATCGATCACCTTATACTCAGGTGTTCCATTGGTCACCAAATAACTACATATCAATTAAGGATCATAACACCAGCAGCTCTATTAAGAAGCTATCCCTAACTGACACGAGTCTTCTACACAAAACTCTTTTTGTATGATACATGTAGTAACCAAGTACAAATTCAAGTGACCCGATATTGAGGTTTAGTTAGGAGACATAAAGTTCATTAGAGCAAATGCATTATGATAAAACCAACGTTAGAAAAGCATGATAACCTGTTGGTGTGATAAAATTTATGATAAAGGTTAGCAGACAAATGGCAATGATCTTCATTCTTGTGTGCAACATACAAAGTTAAAATATGGCTGTGGTGTGGCTGTGGTGTGGTTGTGGTGTGCATGTGGTGTGCCTGTAGATGTGACAAGAGACCACAGTGCTGACTGTGCATTGGTGTCAACCAATCATTTTCTAAGTCATTCAAACACAGTGAACTTGTATTGTAACACAGAGCAATTTTCAATTGAGTATCAAAAGTAATTCAGCATTTCCTTAGCTTTTCTTTCCTTTGCTTTCTAATTGGTCAAGAAAATTCACTCTCTCAACCAATCAGATGCAAAACTGACACCAATCATGGCTTGGTTTACACGCTTCCTCACCCTTTAGGCAGTTTACTTGTTTTTGACTGGCCACTGGCCATTGTAATTACTTTGTTTTTTTATGACAATCAATCAAAAAGCACTCTATACTTGCTAGTAAAGGTGAAGCAAGTTACCACAAAGACATGAAAAAAGGCTTGTCTGATTACAGTAATTAAAATGCGGCCATTTGATCAGCTTTAGCTTTTTTTATCATTCCTATGTGAAGGATACACATTAACACCCAAAAACCAGGCAAACAGAGCAAGCTGGAGCAGCCATGGAATAATCGGAAAGAACAAAGATGTCTTGATTGCTGAAACAGCTCTTGAAATAACAAGTCAAAACAAAGAAATTACAACCAAAAGGAGATACAATGTAGCTAAGAGTACTTAAATCTATTTGTTATACAAAATAATAGGCAAGATATATCAATTCAATGACAAGCAATATGATTTAAATGTAGAGTTTTGTAAAAACCTTGAGTTGCCTCCCAGTGAGGAAACTTTTTTGAATGTGGCCTGTATTTAGAGCCCTTCATCTTTTGATTTATCACAAGGGAAAATAACTCTTGACCCAGTATGAACTTTGCAAAATACTTAACTGACCCACACATCATTGAATAAATGTAGAAGTAACAGGGATAGAGGACCCATGAAACACATAGATATATCTTTACCACTACAAGATAAGTCTACGCCTAACTTTCTAGATTTGAGGCAGACATCTAAGAAATACTTTATGCTTCAAAAAAAGGATTCTTTGCAAGTGAAAGTGAAAACCAACCATTGGAATACAGATCCATTACTCAACATACTTGCTGGATTCCTTTATCATGGCAATAGCAATCTGGATTCTTTTGCGCAGGACAAGAACAATCAACAGGAGGATGACCAACAAAATAGTCAGGAAAATACCTGGCAATACATAACAACTTGATATCATATATATACAGTCACAGACTTTCAGTAAGGAGTAATTTAAAGGGTAGAAGACAAGCAAAGTAAGAAAGAGGGGAAAAGGGTGATATTGCAATTCCTGTTTTCACATCTCTCTACTGACTCAGAATCCAACAATGAGAGCACTGTTGATAACAATACTTACAGACCTGCAAGCTTATGGTGATTATTGCAAGAAAAGAAAGGACAGCTGTTTGCTTACCAATGCCCAGCCAGGTGTCTTTTGACTGAGTGTACGTGTCCAAGTTCAGGGTAAATTTAAGCTCAAAGTCTTTACTAGTGCCAGAATCTTTTAAGAACTTGTACTTGCTGTAACAAAAGTACATCCCTGAATGGAGAAAAAAAGTGCTGTCATTATTACAAGCAGATCCAGGAAAATGGGCTCCCCTTCCTTTGAAAGCAAATCACTGGTGGAGATTCTGTACTTCTTTGCCATAATTTATAAGGAGTGAATTTTTAGTCATTGAGTTTTTTTGTCTGTCATAACCAACACTTTAATGGTTTAATTAGTGTTTTTTTTTGTTTTTTTTTTTTGTTTTGTCTTTAGCACACACTTTAAGCCATTGATACCATACTGGAATAAGGCAGTAGGATGTATTTTGAAAACTAGAAGAAGAAATATGAGAAAATAAAATAATAATGAAATAATATAATTTCCTTATTCAATGGTTTAACATGTAATACAAGCAGACATTTTACTCAATGCCTGTACTTTACTTGCCCCAACAAAACTCAGAAAAGAGTGGCACAACCTGCAAAAATATCTTGGATCCATAATTAATGTTAAACCATTGTATAAGGTTTACATATAAACAAGCACATATACGAGTACAAGTTCTGGGTACAATTAAACAAACTGAGACTAAAAATATACCATAAATAATCAAGGCAAAGACAGCAATGATGCTGAACCAGATGAGAGGGCCTGTTATCCATCTGTAAAAATAAAAAATACCTTCAACATCTTCAAATACTTCAGGTTAGAAAATTTAATACTTGCAACACAAAAGTTGTAACATTTATCAGCCCTATCCTTACCCTCTGTAAAGTTCAAGGCCATGGTGATTTTTCAAATCACTATACATTTTTCAAGACCTGCATAACTTGGACTTTCTCCACCTCATATTTCACATCATTTTCTATGATTTTCTTTGTAAATGAATTTAATCACTGATATCCATGAATGAACCTTAAAATAGTTTAAACCATTTCTGTTTGACTCCCTGGAAAATGATGTATCACATTAGCCATACCTGAGAGCCTGGTCTAAATTTTTTCCCCTGCACATACAATTAATGAGATCAAACCCTGTTGGACAGGGCCCACACTTAAATGAACAACCATGAAACTCTCCAAATTGTACATTATAACGATAATTTTTTTCTCCCAAACTTATTTAAACGTTACCTTAAAGACATATTCACACCAACATTTAACCAGCCCTAGTTAAAATTTATCAAGAATCATTTTTAATTGTATTCTGTTATCTTTTTTGTGGTTCAGCAGCTTATTCCATCTAAGAGGTTAAACCTTGTTAGATAGGGCTTAAACTTGTCCAGACAGTAATTTCTGACTAACTACCTGACAACCATGGTCATCTCATGGACATTCATGGTTAATAATGATAATGGTAGTAATAGTAGTAATATCAACAATAAGTAAAAGAATGATAACAGTAGTAACAATAATGATTATGATTTCCTTATCAGTATCATAACAATGATAATAATGAAACAAACAATATCACTATGAAACACCATCTGACTAAAGTAATACCTTGTGATGAGAATGTAGATAAATGCAAGTACTAAAACCAGTATCATCCCACTGAAAGAAAAACATATTATTCAAGATATATATTTTTAAAGCTTGTTTGTCAAACTGGATACAATAAATATCACCATTAAATAACAAACTAAATTATATTTAACAATCATGATACCAACATGTCTATCAAAACTGATGATAACGTATATATTCAATTTGGTTTTATATTTTCAATTGCAACAAATTACAGCTTGATGTAGCAGTTAAAAGTAACCCATGATCACACTTGCACCTGAACTAGTAAAAGGAGGTATTGGAAAAAGAATCATCATTGACATACAACATATTACACATTGGAAATGTTTGACTCACATTAACAACCAGTGCCATACAGCTTTAATGTCCTCAAATATCTAAACAAATAATAAAAAGACAAAACAGAACAAACTTACAACCTATGATTACCTTAAAACAAAATGATAAAATTATTATTAATATAATAATAATAATAATAATAATATTAAAAAACAGTTATTATTGAAAAGCTAATTTTTATCCTCTATGCTGACAAACATGTACATACCGACATTCCAAAATTTTGTGCATTTAAAAGAAATTGAAGCCCTCTGAAAATAAAAAAAACATGGAAAATGATAGTTTAGAGTGAAGCTACAAACAATTACAATAATTTGAAATGTTTTGTCAAATTATAAAATATCAAAACCTTAGATGGATCCATAGATTGTTAATATACAAAACAAAGTTACCACTGGCTTCTAATTCTTACTCTTTGAAGAATATGGAGTTAAGGAAAGAAATAACCAATAAAACAATTAACAATGGACATCAAATGTGTATGTTAGGCTTTCAGTAATCAACATGTCATTTAAGGACATGTGACAAAGGACCAGTCTGATAGTGACAAAACTGATTTTGAAATAAAATTGTTTGACTCTAATCTTGTGTACACACTTTTTTTATAGCTATTTGTTATGGCCAAAATGTGCAAGGCAAGGTGAATGGTGCAGTATTGAGGAATCATCTTAGAGCGGTACTTTCTTGTGCATAAAAAATGAAGTCTTGAAAGATGGTATTTATGAAAACAAATCACTTTAAATAACGAGTTCAAGAAATGCTGTTAATACCAGAAGGGAAATAATCATTGATATAAACTGTGAACTCACTGTAATCCAGCTTCAATGACTGATTTGGTTATGTTATTTCCAGCAAGATTTGTTATGAATGAGCTGTTGGCAAGCAAGTCAGTTGCCAAGGTTGGTATGCATCGATACAAAACTATAAACAGATGTAAAATCACAAGAATCAGTGGTATCTGAAGTAAAGCTCACAGAACTAATGCCACTTTAAACATTCCTAAATGTAACCAAAACATAGCAAGACAACATAGGGGCATGAGTTTCAACCTTTCAACTCCTATGTGTGAATAAGACCTTTAAAGAATTTTCCTTATAATATCAATACAATATCTAGCAGACAAGTGATAAGAATAAAGAAAATTGTACTTTAGGGGATTTTTAGTCCATCCAATACCACATTCTCTGAACTAATATCAAACTTGTATCACAATTTTATAGCAGACAATAAGGAGAATTACCAACGAGATCTTGGAAGTGGAATGGCTAGGTTAAGTTTATCCTCACAATTAATTCCAGTTGAAGAAGTTATTTCTTGAGTACAAGAGACATTTTAATGGGTTCTTTATGGAATTGATTACAAGTTTCTATTGAACTGTGGAAGATAGGTGCTTTGGGATGCATAACTTATTGCAGCTTTGAACCAACTGGAATATGCCTGGTAAGTGAACTAACCTGGCTCTGAAGCCAAATAGTATGGTGCACATTTTCCTTGTAGGACCAATTCTTTTCTGTTGCTCTGTAAAAATTATGATCATAAAATAAGAACCAGTTTGATTACCACAACAAAATAACAGAGTTATTCCTTACAAAGACAGACATTAAATATATCTCAGTTGTATAGGTGGGTGTCCAATGGCCCAGTCAAAATTTGTGCATTTTGAAAAATTAGGTTAAATTTGTTTGCTAAGTTAATTGCTCTTTACCAATCCATATACAGTTTGATTTTCCTTATAATGATGGTGATTCAACATGCCCAAAGAAATCTATCCTCATTAGGCAAAGATAGCTTATTTTCATTAACAGAAAAAGGATTAATTATGATTACACCACAATTTATTGAAGAGATTTATTAGGACTATCTTCTCTCCAAGAGCTGGCTCAACCTGCCATCCTTTGGTCAGTTTCCTGCATCAGTCAATACCAGTGATTTATTACTGATCAGGAAAAGAGGCCCATGTTTGCCATCTTTCAAAAAGGAGTAAATTCAGGGTTCCAATCAGTGGCAGATCCATACCTTGAGAGGCCACAATTTTGGTCCAAAAACAAAGGCTGACACACCCAGATCCAATTGCATAATGCAAATAGATCTACAAAGGGCAGAGAATTATCTCCACATACATGTAGAATACTTGAAATACTTATCCCATTAGCCATGGGATAATTCAAAAGTGGTCTCTCAATATTCAAATGAGGATAAATAGTTCTTAGGAGCTATGCAATTTATTCTATATTTCCAGACTAACTACTGATGATAATCTTAATCTAAATTTAAAAAATCATTAGCCCAATTTTACTATACAAGATACATGTCCTATAATCTTTTTTCAACAGTCTCTGGAATAAAAAGTTAAGTGAACAATTTCAAAACTTATAATTTTTTTTGTGTTTTTGTAACATTACCTTGGTAACAGCCTCAACTCCTTCTTTGCAGACCATATTACTTGGTTCTGGGTCATACCCTAGCTGATTTTTCTCTGGACAAGATTTAACACAAACCTACCAAATGGACAGAAAGGATCATAAAAAATACGAAATAATTAAGACTTGTTGACAAGTAATGATTTTACTCTTTGAGAGGATTGCACATGTTTATCTTGTAAGTCAAAATTATTTCACTTAAGTTCAATATGTATGTTTAAGGACTACAGCACTGTTCTTGGAACAAAGGAAAAATTGTTCAAGTTACTTTTGATTAAAACATTTTAACATCAAGTTATAATAAACCATAATATTTTTATGAGCTACCAAAAGACTAAGAAGTTTCCAACAGACATCTCCCTCTTGCTCATTATTGCTATGATTATGACTGTTTTGTTCTAACCAGAGCACTAATGGATCGAGTGTACTATAGGTAGTATCAGGTCAATATAGCAGTCAGTGTAGTGGTTGATATGGTGGTCAACAGATAGTTGGTCAATAGTTGCTTGAAAGGCACTTGGTGATTGGTTGACAGTTGGTCAGTACATATCAGTTGAGAGTTATTCAATATCTCAGTTGAAAAATGTCTATACTTCACTGATGTGTCACTGACACTTCACTAACACCTCACTAAATACAAGTCAACTATCAATCAAAAGCCTGTCAATTGTCAGTCTGAGGTCTGTCAACATTGATGCATGTTGATATATACTTCACTGATGGTCAAGCCACTTTGCAACAAATGAAATAAGAATCACTGGAAAGGTTAATGAAAGTTGAAAAAATGTCTCCAAGAGCTGTAACTGTTTTTTTTTTCCACAGTTTCTAATCGTGCATATGATCTTCTTTATTACTATCACACACAAATTTGCATGGATCTGTTTGGTTTTGTGAGGAGCATTTTACGGCAAATAGAGTTGATGTTGTGTTGCATTTGTTCATTTACAGATCATGGATGATGTTGATTTTACTATGGAAGAGGAAATTTTCCAGACTAAGGTAGTCAGTGGAAGAAGTTAAGATTAAAGTCTGTCAAGAATTGTCATGTGCTATATGCCAGAATAGGTTGTGAATAGTTATCTATCAATTTCTGACCACCAATACACCAACACGTGACCAATAGATTGCCAACACCTGACCAAGAGATCACTAAAACCTGATGGTAAAACCAGCGACACTCCACACGCCACATATCAACCACCTTTCAGTCAACATATCAACCAAGTCTTGATGGATAGTGGATCTGTCTTTTAACAAACAATTGACTAATATAGTAAGCAACATTGAAAAGATACATCAGGGGATACATTGGCTGATAGTCAATCTATTGGTTGACAATACTATAGTACACATTATCCGCAGCAACTATATGTTGTTGTGAACTGCAAGTTGTGATTTTGTGAGCAATCAGGTTGGCAGAATCACCACAATAATTTTTGCCACATTTGAAGACAATTTACCAATAGTTGGCTTATTGATACGTTATAATCCCAAATGTGATAAGCAGTTAATATTTTTCAAAAGCAGAGACAAATGGATTTGTGAGACATATTTCTCCTTTAACCATTTACACCCTAACATCAGTATGCATATTCTCCACACTTGTCTCTATGCATTTCCTAAGGTGCTGTCGAGGAGAATAATTGTAGCAATCAAGAGCTGCTTTAGTTGGTATTGTAAGGAGAAATTAGATGCTAGTCACTCTAAGAAGTTAAAGGGTTAAGAAAAACCCTTAGGCTGATGAACAGTAAGGTTTTCAACAATCACCTGTGGTGTGGGACATGAAGGAACTGTAACATATTTGGTAAAATCTCCACCCTTTGTGGCACAAGTACTGATGTCAAAGAACAGCAGATATTTTTTATCCCTAGAAAGAGAAGATAGAAGAAAAGAGGGAGTCAAAAAATTGAAGAGTGTGTACTGGAAAAAACTTTTGATCAAAGCACTTAAATTAAAGGCAATTAACATGAGCTTATATCTAATATTGAATTTCCATTCATTTTGGGTGAGACTGTCAACTTTTAAAGCTACTTTGTTGAGGGAATGGTTAGCAACAGAACATCATAACTAATGATTTTTCAACAAAATGGTTCAAAACATTTAGTCCAGGCTACAGCTCAACAATTACAGTAAGACATATTTGC